AGGTTTATCACCAGATCTTCAGTCTATGGAGCAGATTCGGCGAATTATGCGACCAACTGATGTACCAGATCAAGGTCTTCTTTGTGATCTTTTGTGGTCTGACCCCGATAAAGATGTCTTAGGCTGGGGTGAAAATGACAGAGGAGTGTCCTTCACATTTGGTGCAGAAGTGGTTGCAAAATTTCTCCATAAGCATGATTTGGATCTTACTTGTAGAGCCCATCAGGTGGTTGAAGATGGATATGAATTTTTTGCTAAGAGACAGTTGGTCACTCTGTTTTCTGCACCCAATTATTGTGGAGAGTTTGACAATGCAAGTGCCATGATGAGTGTGGACGAAACACTAATGTGTTCTTTTCAGATTTTAAAGCCGGCAGAAAAAAAGAAGCCGAATGCCACGAGACCTGTAACACCTCCAAGGGGTATGATCACAAAGCAAGCAAAGAAATAGATGTCAATTTTGACACTGCCTAGTTGGGACTTGTAACATATAGTATATAACCTTCATTTTTAAGACTGTAATGTGTACTGGTCAGCTTGCTCAGATAGATCTGTGTTTGTGGGGGCCCTTCCTTCTATTTTTGATTTAGCAAATTCCATTTGCTGGTTATAACAGCAAATGAAAGACTCCACTCTAAAAAAAAGTGTTTTGTTTTTTAATTCCCTTTTCCTTTTGCAAACAATTTTAATGATGGTGTTAAAGCTATACACCCCAGGACAGTTTATCCTGTCAAAGGGGTAAGTGTACAATTGATCATTTTTTAATTCAGTAAAAACCCATAATAATGTAAATGCTTGTTTTCTTTAGGCTATAATGAGAGCCCTAGGGTGCTCTGAATCTGTACATGTTCTTGTCATAAAATACATACTGTTGATACAAACCACTGTGAACATTTTTTATTTTAAAATTTTGTTTCAAAGGGATTGCTTTTTCTTTTCATTGTCTTGTCATGTACAAACTAGTTTTTATAGCTATCGACATTAGGAATAACTTTCAACCTTGCCAGCATCACTGGTATGATGTATATTTAATTAAAGCACACTTCCCCTACCATATACTTAAAATGACAATTAAAGCCATTCTTTTAAATGTTTGTGACTCTTTCCTAAAGCCAAAGTTTCTGTTGAAATATGTATTGACACACCCCTAAGTACAAGGTGGCATGGTTGTATACATATGCTGCCTTCTTGGGGATTCAAAAACTGGTTTTTGATTTTGAATAGTAGTTAGTAATATAGTGCTGTTTAAGCTATTAATGATTAAAGTTAATAACATTTTGTACAATTTCCATATAGTCTATTCATTAAGTAATCTTTTTACAGTTACATCAGGCCTGAACTCGTCCATTCAGAAAGCTTCAAATTATAGAAACAATACTGTTCTATACGAGTGACCGATTATGCTTTCTTTGGCTACATTCTTTATTCAGCGGTGAAGTTGAGGCTTCTAAGTCAAAACAAAGAAACTAACTTACTATCCACCAATTTATACAGAATTCACAGTATCTATGACTTTTTTAAACTAAGATCTGTTAAAAAGAAATCTGTTTCAACAGATGACCGTGTACAATACCATGTGGTGAAAATGCATTCAGACTTATTAAATGATGAACTTGTTAAAAAAAAAAAAAAAGAAAGAAAAATTTTACAGAGACAAATGAATTTCGCTTTGCAAGTTAATAGTGTAAGCAGCATTTAAAGGGACATACAGTTGTCCCTTGGTATCCACAGGAGATTGGTCCCAGGATTGCCCAGGGATACCAAAATCTGCACGTCCTCCATCCAGGAAGCAGGTCTTGTAGAACTGTGGATATGAAAAGTCAACCCCTTCTATACACAATTTTACATCCCATAAATACTGTATTTTTCATCCACATCTAGTTTAGGATGTAGAATTTGCCATAAAGAAGGGCAGGTTTTATTTATTGAAAAAAAAATCCATATTTAAGTGGACCCTCATAGCTCAAACCCAGGTTGCTCAAGGGACAATATACCTAATATAATAGAAAATCTAACTTATTTTGGGAGATCCACTATATAATCTAGAACAAAGAGTTGGGAAACTATAGCTCTCAGGCCACATCCAGCCAACTACCTGTTTGTTTTTGTAAATAAAGTTTTATTGGAACACAGTCATACTCCTTTATTTACGTGTTCTCAGGGGCCACTTTCATGTGACAGTTGGCAGCCTGGAGTAGTTGAGACAGAGCCTGAATGGCCAGTACAGTCTAAAATATTTACTATCTAGCCTTTTACAGAAAAGGTTTGCCAAATCCTGATCTAGTGAACTGTTAAGAATATAGTAAATGCTTATTTTTAAAAAATAAACAAATTGATACACTGAAATCCACGACTATGAACACAATAAACTTACAACCCAAGTTCCCTCAGGCTATACCAGCTGATGAGTATAAAGGAATTCCAACACAGAAACTCAAAGCGTAAATCTCTGATTCAGCCTTTCACAGAAATTTAGGAGCTCTCTCTCTGCTAAACCTACTAACATTTGGGACCATTGTCCTCCTGATGGCAATTATGTGGCATCTCTCAGTTCCTCCCTACCTCCCACTTCCCTGGCTTCCACTCCCCAAAGAATCAGCTACCAACACCACCCTGGTCCTCATTAGCTAACCCTTCTATTAATGGAGACTTTATGAGTCAGAAGTGCATTTACTGGCAAATAGCAGAAGTTCCTGCTACTGAGGCTTAAACAAGGTAGGTGTTTGTTTATTCATTCAAAAAGAGGACTAGTAGTAGGTGTCCAGGGTTGTTCCAAGAAGGAAGGATAAAGAAGGAGGGAAAGCAAAGGGCTGAAGGAAGAAAAAATTGTCCTTTTTCAAAAACTTTCCTGGTAGTTCAAACTGATGCCTTCCACTTCCACTTCATTGTCTAGAACAAGCGTACATGGAGACTTCCTCCTATGAGGACAGCTGGTGTGAGAGCTTTCTAGTCCCCCTGGAGAGTATGGGAAAGGACCATCAGGCTTTTGGAGCAAATCTTGAATCTAAAGCTTGCCATGGAAACAAAGTTTTTAAGTGCCCCAGACCGCTTAAAGAAAATTCTTCCCCAATCCCTCTCTAGCATTTCATGTTAGTTGAGCTCTGGGTGGTCTTCCATGTATATTCAGACATGGCTGATGTGTAGACAGCATAAAGCCCTGGATGGTCATCCATGTATATTCAGA